TTGGGACATAATTTCAGTCAGTCATGGATGCCAGCTTGATCATGATGGCCCTGAGTGCTACGGGTCACAGCTTCCCAGTTCGCATTGGTGAGGACCTCAGCACTGTCTTCGAATCCAAGGACAAGACAAACCCTCAAATCCTATTTTGCTTTTGTTTTTTTTTTTTTTGAGTCAGGGTTGCACTCTGTCACCCAGGTTAGCCCCACAGCCTCGACCTGTTAGGCTCGGGTGATCCTTCTGTCTCAACTTCCTGAGTAGCTGGGACCACAGTTGTACGCCACCATGCCCAGCTAATTTTTTTTTTATTTTTTGTAGAGACAAAATCTTGCTATGTTGCTCAAGCTGGTCTCGACCTCCTGGGCTCAGGCACTCCTCCCAATTCAGCCCCCTGAGTAGCTGGGACTCCAGATGCACGTCATCATGCCCAGATAATTTTATAATTTTTTTTTTTGTAGAGATGAGGTCTCACTATGTTTCCCAGGCTGGTCTCAAGCTCCTGGACTTAAACAATCCTCCTGGCTTGGCCTCTCAAAGTGCTGAGATTACAGGCAAGAGCCATTGTGTCCAGCCTCGAACCCCATCTTTGCTGATCCATCTCCTAGGGCTGCTCCCAGCACTGATTCTGTATCTGTTGTACTCTTTGCTATTCCAGACTCCAATTGTAACTTAAACAGAGGAGTTTTTATACGAAGAATCCTTAGCAATAGTGGGGGGATGGCTAGAAAGGGTGAGGAGAATGACGCAGAATGCATGAGAGCTGAAGTACCCAAAGAAAAAAACTCGGAAGGGCTCCCTCTCCTCCAGGATTCCACCCTCATTGGAGAGGGCATCGTTGCAGCCTGCTAGGGGGGTGGAGATGTTTGCTGAATTGACCCCAGCTAGAGCTGGTCTAAAGTCCTGGAACAGCAGGTGACAGCCTTCTCAGGAGCGGGAGGACGAAGGCTGGCAGGGAAGCCATGGTCAGGACCAGCCAGCAGGAAACACCCTCTGGGGTGTGTGTGGACAAGGCGGGCAAACCCCTCCAAGGAGGAGGAGGACAAGGCTGACAGGTGGACCTGAGCAGGGATTTAGGACATTGGAAACCCAAGCTAACCAGCTGTCATGGGGCCTGGCATTAGGACAGCTACAGCAAGCCGGTCGCTGGCTGGGCTGGGGCTGGGAGCTGGTTGAGGGCCGGTGCCCTTTATGTGCACAGTTAGGACTTCAATTTGCCAGGGCTGCTACAACAAAGTCCTACAGACCTGGGGTTTCAACAGCAGACATGTATGTCCCCACAGTCTGGAGACTAGAAGTCCAAGATTGAGCTGCAGCCAGGGTTGGTTTCTTGAGGGCCTCTCTCCTCAGCTTGTGGATGGCTGTTCACGCCCAGTGCCTTCACAAAGTTTCTCTGTGTGGGTCTATGTCCCAGGCTCCTCTTATAAGAACACCAGTCTTTTTTTTTAAAGTTGGGGTTTCACTCTGTCACCCAGGTTGGAGGACAGTGGCACGCTCATGGCCACCACAGCATCGACCTACTGGGCTCAGGTAGTCCTTCTGCCTCAGCCTTCTAAGTTGCTGGAACCACAGGCAAACGCCACCACGCCTGGCTAATGTTTTTTTAATTTGTTGTAGAGATGTGTCTCGCCAAGTTGCCCAAGCTGGTCTCAAACCCCAAGGCTCAGGCAATTCTCTCCCCTTTGCCTCCTCAAATGCTGGGATGACAAACGTGAGCCACCACACCTGGCTTGTACAGAAGTATTATTGGCCTAGGTCCCAGGAGCTGTCATGGAGGCTCATTTAACCTTCTTTAATGGAGACAGGTTCTTTTTTTTTTTTGAGTTGGAATCTCACTCTGTCACTCAGAGTGAGATTCCAGTTACTTGGAAGGCTGAGGCGGAAGGATCGCCGGAGCCCAGCAGGTCGAGGCTGCAGTGGCCGGAACAGCCTACCATGTCCGAGTAATTTTTTATTTGTTGTAGAGATGAGATCTCGCCAAGTTGCCCAGGCAGGTCTCAAAGGCATTCAGCAACTTGGAAGGCTGAGGTGGAAGGATCGCCAGAGCCCAGCAGGTCGAGGCTGTGGTGACCGGGACTGGCCT